ATCGATCTCGCCGTCGGCGGCCTCGAGGGCGCTTTTGGTGGGCTTCTAGAGAATTTTTGTCCTGTAGTCTCGGGAAAATCTCGTCGTCGGAGGCGTCGAGGGAGTCGGTGAACAAGTTCAAATCTTCACATTTTGGTCCTTTTCGCTCCAAATTTGTTCTTTTTTGCATCTTTTTGCTCCAATAACCCTAATTCATCATTTCTGCAACAAAACATCAAAAATACTTTTTTTAAAGTGCAATATGATAAAAAAACAGTATAAAATAAGTATGAAAATTTCAATATATTTTTCTTAGGTCACCTAGCAGAAACATCAGTATATCGAGAAAGAGTATGCTCCCCATGGTGCAGACCAGCTACAGTATCGGGTAATCTTTGTCTTTTCCTTTAGAATTTTAGGGATGTCTTTATAGTGGGTGATCGATAGGATTCTTGGACTCAGTCTTGACTTAATCGGTCGACGACAGGTCCTGGCGACGACAGACTCGGTGGTGACGATGGTGGTATCAACTCTGCTCCCCAAGCGAAACCAGACAAGAATAAGAGTAGGCAAAAGCCTCAGTTAACTTTTGAGATTGTTTGGCGGATCGGACGTCCTTAAAAATTTATTTCTTCATGCGAGGGGATATTGCATGTCTCACTCGTTTAAGTAGTTCACTAACTGAACAGTCTTCTTTGGAGGCTAAAATCTAAAAAACTGAACTGACTCGGGTGATAGGAGTTAGGGATAAACATAAGACTTGAGGATGAGGTAATTTAAGTTAGTGTTTTGGGGAGTTAAACACTTAAATAATTTCTCCTCAAAACTGAAGTCAAACAATAGGACAGCTTGGGAGGTCATCGAGGTTTTCCTCCGGATCTATGACATCCCCTAGTTTTTTCTCATTTGGATTCCAAAAATAAAATGTTTCAAATTTGAACAAATCCCTTTTCACACCAAATTTGAGCCATTCCTCTTTCACACCTTATTGAAAAGTCTTATCCTTTGACCTTCTTGAAGATAATATTTTCTGATTTTTATCAAGAATTTTCTTAGGTGACATCAGTCATTTAAAATATAATTAACTATAAGGGTTTGCCCTTATAGGAAGCTTGTCTTAACCCAGTTTAATATAAACCTTATTTAATTCTTCATATTAAATAGAGTAAATTGTCGGCAAATAAAATGGTTTAACAGACCAAACGGACGTCATAAATTTCTTATTTTATTTGATCGAGACTCATCCTCAAGTCATGTGTTTATCCTTCGGGATAGATACAGGATTTGCGGTACAGCGCTCTTTCATTTAAATTATGAAAAAAATATGGGGTCAGTTTGATTTCATATTTTTCTAAACATTAAAATGTCCTTCCAAAGCGGGTGACGGAATTTCGATTCCGGCGACCGACAGCTTCCAACGGACAACTCCCCAAACCAAAATAGTGCTGACAATATATTAATTCTTTTTGAGTATTTATTGACTTCAACTTAGGGGCCTTTTGGTTGAGTGAATTATTGGTGTATTATAAAGATTTGAGAAATTTATGTGTTTGGTATGAAAGTTTACAAATACAATTGAAAATTTTAATGAATTTGATGTTTACACTATAGTTCATTTTGAATGAATTTAGAATTTGGTCAATTTGGCCAAATTTTTTCTCATCATTCATATAAAATATTATAGGCAAGTTGCCACAGCCCGTCGTCCCCTTGGCCAATTTCTATAAAATGCCCCCCCCCCCCCCCCCCCCCCCCACAGCCGATCACCGCTGACGACTGTCTGCATTAGCCTCCGCCCGCCACCACCGTTTGTTGTTAACCATTAACCATTAACCATTAACCATCGCACGTTGCCCGCAGCCCACCACCACTGCCACTAGCCGTTAATCGTTGGCAGTTAACTGCCACCCACAGCCCCCGCCACCGCAGGCGTTCGTTGCCGCCTACCACTGCAACAACTACACATCGTCCTTGTCGGCCGCTGCAACTGCACGTTGTTGT